AATTAAAACGGAACAGTAGAGAGTTTTAATTTTAAATAGTTTTGCATTATATGGCCGTTTGGTGTTTTATGGGTTTTTCCCATTTGCCTTTTAAAATTTATATATTGTTAAAGAATCTCTATTGAGATCCAGCGGGCCGCCAGTGATGCACGGTAGAGATTGCATCTTTAGATCTCCGATCTTGTTCACAAATTCACCAACTAGTGCTGTCTCATAAGGATTTCGTAGGACGCGTTAAGAATGACAAAATATTCTCTGTATCTACTGGAACCGAGCCACATAGCTTGTATTCCACTATTTGCATTCACACCTGGGCTGTGTATATATATTGCCTTGGTTTGGCTCTGTAATCATTAGTGGTCGTGGGACTAGTTTGGGCCCTACCTAAGCTGGTCGAACGTTTCGTTTGGGTCTATACCCTAGCTGCACTGATGAGGCCTGAAAGGCCGAAACGGATCCGTCTGCAGATATAGTTACGGATTAAAATAGTAATCAGAATTGAGTAGTTGACAAAGTACAAAATTCTAATTGATTACTAGCCTTTTTGAAGGTCTATAAAGCCTGCTTTCCATAAAATCGATACACGCGCAGCTCTCCGCCCACAGATTTCCGCCACACGGATTGGTCGGTTGCAATTTTATGGAAACTATGCTTAAAGAAGTTAGGAACAGTTATTTTCAATCTGTTAATTTGCAAGAAAAATATATGTTTATAGCTGATATAATTATATTGCTGATATATACAATAGTAATTTGATCTGTGAATCTTGTAAATAATTTAAATTTTATATTTTTTAATTTAATATATGTACATTTTGAGATGTTTGTTTATTGGTATTGGATAATTATTGTATTATGAAATTTAAATATCTAAATTTTAATTAATTGTAAATAATAATTTTGTTAGGTTATCTTTATTAGTGAATTCACAATTTTTAATTGTAATAATTATATTTTTATATCTTTCCATTTAATTGATTGTCTTTTCCATATTGTAGATATTGAATTTAAATTTGTAATTGATCTGTATTTTATTGTAATAATTTGGAATTATTGTATATTATAGTTAATATTTTTGTAATTTCATTGTATAATGTTGCCTATATTATATAGTATTTTATCATCATTTTATGTAAAGTGCATTGAACAGAAATCTGAAAATACGCTATATTATAAAAAAACATTATTATTATTATTATTATTATTATTTTCCAAAATAGTGAGTATACAGAGTGAAGAAATCAAAACAGCAGACAGCATATATTTAACTTATGTATTATCCTTTCAATTTCAGGATATATTTATAGATTGCCGTCATGAAGAAAGCAACAGTCTGTTAGAATGTGATATCGGCAACCCGTTACCTGCTAGGAAAACAGTAAATATTCCTTTATCAAATTCTAATGTTATTGAATTTTTGGGTTTGTTTTTCATGTTGTATAATTTTTAGTATTAAAAATATACAGTAATTGTTCAAATTTTTCAGTGATGTCACCATCATCAGCATGCATTGCTCTTATCTATTTCTTCTTTCTTTTTTACAGATAAACTTCATGTTATCGTTGTCTGTCGATGATTTGAAAGGTGATAGTGAAACGCTGTCTTTTGAGTTAGAGGTTGATAGGTTAGTGATTTATTGTGCAATTGTAAGAGAAATGCGTCAAAGTGTAACAACTACCATTACAAATTTACATGTAATATGTATACAAATACAAAGGCAGTAAAAGGCTAAAAATACTTGCTGTATAATATATTTTTTAAATAATGAAGTATATCTCATACAAGCAAACACTTTATACTAAACCTTAAAATTCAATATGCTTTCATGAAAAGCTAATCTAGAAAATGTATCAGTATTAGTCGACGTTCATTCGTTTGTGTGAATTCATAATCACATGATCTACACAGGTGTTAATGTAGTTTCCTTTAGCAAATAATCATGAATAGCAGATATTAGTTGCTGTTATGAGTTGACTGGAACAGTCGTAGCAGGGTCACCACATGCAGGTTAACAACATGACCAAATTTAATCAAACAATATGACAGGTAATTTACCAAAATTAGGTCGTAGAAAAATACTTTTCTATGGAAGAAAGATTTTAAGTTAGTACCATCATTTAACATTACAAATAACACATCTGGTGGAATATGATAAAACTTTTTAAATGTACAGTACTGTACTATTAATAATTTGTATTGGCTTCAACAGAATCTTCGAGGTAAGAACGTGGATAGCATACATTACATTTGTGAGCAGTTGTGACAAAATGAGTCTTGTGGTACGAAAAATGAGAAATGAGTTATTGATATATTTAGATAGATGAATATATAAGCTTTTTTTTGGTCTCTGAATCATGTTCCTGGGTTAAGTAGAACTGGAGTAAGATCATTTTAAATTCAGATGTCTAAAAGCATACTTAGGAGAAAATCACAAAGGTAAACAACTGATAAATTTTTTGTTGGTTTTTCCTATCAATTCTGAAAAAATAGCATTACAAAATGTGCCTCAAAAACATGAGTACCTCAACTTTGCTACTATGAAATATACGTATTAAACTTATAAAAATAGAAACCCAATTTTTGTCAAAATATCACTTCAGATATATTTTCTTGAATATATCAAATTGACCTGGCGTACCACAACTTATTTTGTCACCACAGCTCACATTTATTCCGGGTTACATTTTGACGTCACAATGATACACTGTAAATGTACATTTCACACAAGTATTGTATGATATCTATACATCATATAGTGTAATGTGATCAAATGTCTCTATCACTTTAGCCTTAACCAAGAGAATCAAACAACGTTAAATAACAATGTTGCGAACATTGCTGTCCAAGTCCAAGTGTCTGCAACAATTGAACTAAAGGGGTAAGTATGACAAGTCTCATGCATTTATGTAATGATTAAATTTTTGAACCCACATTAGTCTAATAAGTTTATTCCTCCATGGTTTGAATATATGAATATACAGACATATGCCTTATGTAAACTGAGATCTCCATCCCAGCGAATGTATACCGGATACTTCAGTTTCCCACTGTCAGTGGTACAACACTCTTTCTAGATCAAACAATTAAAAACGCTGAATTTAAACTCAACAAAACACACTTATCTATGAAGATCAATTAGTCCTCTTTCCACCTACTAACTTTTTTATCACAATTCAGCTAAGCTACACAACCTTAAGATATTAATTATTATTTAGCATATCTAATCCCGAGCAAGTGACATTTGACAAAGTCTTGCAAGAAGATGAGTCAGAAATCATAACAGAAGACGACGTTGGACCCATGGTTAGCCACACGTATGAGGTACGGAAGATGTTAGCATCTGGCAATTTAGAGGAAACCCTTAAAACGCCATTTTTGTAGGACAATAACATAATTTCTGACTAACATAACGTTGTGTTAATTTTATTTTCTAACAACCTATCAGCTTATTTAAATGGATTACATGGTATACTTCAGTGCCCCACCCGAACAATTTCCATTTTAACCTGGCCACTCTTTTTCCGGGGAACGTTTTCAACAGGCAATTTTTACTTTTACTCCATTCAGATTACCCTTACTCCATTCAGATTACCCTTAAATAAGGCTTACCATAAGTAGGCATAGGCCTAGCAGTAAATTGGAACCATGCAACGACAACTGTCCAGGGTTCTAAAAGAGCAACTGATCTCAACAGGCCCTACTGACTAGAAAGAATTGTTCTTAAAGAACCGCTCTTTTTAAGAATGTCTATTTGTGGTAGTAGAAACGGGACCCACAAAGAACAATTCTTTCTGACGCCCCAAAGAACAGTTCTTTGGCACGGTAACACCAAGGAACCGTTCTTCGTGGGATAGTTTTTAGCTGCAATATAAATGGCGGCCTAATTTGACCTAAGTTCCGAACTTAGCCAGTAGCTTTGCAGAGGCACTTAAATCAGTTTTGTATAGTAATTGTGTTCTAATCTTTTACATTATCATCGTTGTTTCAGGTGCATAACCATGGACCAAGTAAGGTGGGCGTGACAGAAATTGAAATCATGTGGCCACTGAAAACTTCAACAGGAGCGTACTTATTGTACTTAACAGAGGTAACAACTAACATGGGAGATGTTTGTACTGTGTCCGGTGGAGTTAATCCTAAGAATTTAACCACGGTAAACAGATGTTCCATTTAATGTTGTTACAGTACATTGTTTTATTATTTTTGATCTGTGATCACTTTCATGTTATTGTGATGATTTGAAAGATTTAACTACATATTACATAATAATAATAATAATAATGATAATAATAATTATCTAATTAATTTATTAATTACCTAATTAATTTATTTATATGTGGGTGTGTGTGTATAAGTATGTACTGTATGTGTGTATGTATATGTGTGTATTTATATATATATATATACATGGTGTAGGCTTATGTATATTGATATTATTTTGGGTTTTTAAAAAATTTGTTTGTGTATTTTTATAATTTTTATTTTTTCCCATTTTTAATCTTATAATCTAATTTAAATTCAATTTTTTCGTTTTGCAATAATAATTAAGTCTCATATTTAATTTCATCTGTTTTTCTTCCTAAGTATTATAAATTATTATTATATATTATATCATCAATTTTATATTGCTGTTTCTCTAAGGATGGATTAACTAGCTTGTGAGCTACAGCAATTTTACTTGCTTTTGTTAAAGTCAGGAATAAGGTGTAAAAATGGGCCCTTTTTCCCCCAGTTTTTAAATATTAAAAAATCTGTATCTCATTCACCGTTCCCCAGTTTTTCGTCAAACAACTTTTTTCTGTCTTAGAAAAATCAGTTCTACAACATATCAAAACTTTTTTTTCCTCTGGAGCCTGACTTTAATCCTTGCCTCCTTAGATTTACAGTTTTATTTTGTATTGTGAACTTTGTGGGTTTTTTTTTTTTTTTTGGTTTTTGTTTTTTTTTACTGTATGTGCAAATTGTATTGTGATTTTAATAAAAGGCTAAATAAAGAATGAATGAATGTATGAATGAATAATAATAATAATAATAATAATAATGAAATATTGAATATTGACCATTATTGCTATATTCGACGAATGTGATTTTGAATTTTGGATAAATCTTAAAATTTGTCTTTGATGTATTTCTAGATTGCATCATATTCTGCAAATAATGCCGCTAACAGAAACACTAGGGAAGTTTCTTTGGAAGTGTCGGAACCGATTGTGTCCCCTAGTGTCATACCCAGTGTCAATGCAATAGGAGATTGCTCTTCTGGAGGGTGTGTGAATGTCACGTGTGTAGTCAATACAATTGTTGGAAGAACAAGTTTTATCGTAACATTAAAATCTAGGTTGTGGGTGAATACATTGTTAAAGGTAAATTAAAATCTTTGATTTAAAAAAATTGAATATAATTTCCCTTTTTATTTTTTCATTTTATATTAATTTTTTTAACTGGGCCAGCTCTCCTTTTGTCCTTAAGCCTGCCCCTGTTTCACTTCATTTTAAAAGACATTTGTAGAAACTATTAAAAAGGCCTGTTATTTTATTTTTTTCTTGTTATGGGGTTGGAATAAGGCAAGTGTATTTTTTCATATGAGGGCTTGCGTAACTGTTTTTATCCTTTTATGAACTTCATGGTCATTATATGATTATTATAATGTTCTATTTATTAAAATTAGATACTGCATTATTTTATTATTATTGATGTTGATTTTATTGTTATTAATGATGTCCATGCAATTGATTATATATCAAATCTGTTTTACCCAGAATGATATAAAAGAAACATTCGCCAGATCGTATGGTTCATCACGTGTAATCAACATGCCATACCTAATATCACCGAATGTTAAGAGACAAGATTCATTAGAAGTAAGTGTAAAACATGACTCATAAAAAGTAACTACTGTAACTCTTTATAAAGGGCAGATGTGTTCCCTACTGTACTGTTATCCAGGCTTGCACTGTAGTTTGGCTGGAGCCCAGCCCCATCTTCCAACTAGGAGCAATGCAACTTTCAAGGAGTGTCAATCAGAACTGACCATCAAAACATGTTATTTCATAGCCAACTGCAGTGGTGGATTTTGGGGGGAAGGTGGCCAGTGGGGGTTTTTCTGAGCCAGCCTTATTTCTGGGCGTCTCAAAAACAAAAATTTCATTTCGTGGGGAGTGTTGTCTCTCTATCAACCCCCTTTGGTCCATGGTGTCTGCAACTTCACTTACAGTACATCACAGAATTTTATGATTTTCTCTACAGCATGCAGCATCTTGAATTTGTTTGCTTGTTTTGCAGATAACTACATATATCAACCCAGCCATTCCTACAGTAGAAGTTGGGACAGTCGAGATCTGGATAATAATTGTATCTATCATATGCGGTCTGTTGCTTCTGCTACTGCTTGCAGCTGTCCTTTATAAAGTAAGTTACTGACACCACAGGGCATTACTTTAAAATCATGAGAAAATGCTGATTGCAAAACATTTTATTTCAGACAAGCATAATATGGACTAAAATAATAAAAATACAGTAGTAGTACCAAGTAACTATTCTTTTTTCCTGTTTATTCCAGGTCGGCTTCTTTAAAAGGAAAACGATACAAACAGAGGAAAGTAACGGAACAGCAGAAGCAGATGGAGCTAAAAATGGCGCTTTTGATGAATGAACTTCATTCTAGTTGCCACAATACCAGTTATTTTGCGCAAGGTACTAGCATTCTGTGGAGCCCATGACAGAAATAGAAAAAAATCAATTAAAAACACATTTGTTGTACCGGGTGAAAATGTCAGTAATTTTTTCCTATGGGTTCACTATGCAGTAAAAATACAACAAACAAATTTAAATAAGGGTGCCTAATCGCTGTGGTTGAAATTACTGTAGATAGTACATTTTGGCAAGAAAATAGCAATCATTTAAATATGCTTTGATGAGCTAAGAATTGCATACTTAGTGTGTTATAAGTGTTATATTACTGTATTTGCTCTTGATTGAAAATTTAAAAAAAAATATTGTTTTTCAAATGGTTAGATTAGATATTGTGGACCAAAATCCAAAGTTGTAGTGATAGAATGTTGCATTTTGTTAATTATGTACAGAATTTTTTTTTTTTATTGAGAATCCATCGATTGTCTAATTTGTAATACAGTATTATTAGTGATGATGATGATGATGATGATGATGGTGGCGATGAACTGATGGTAATAATCATGATGACAGTAATGACCAACAGGATAATTAACATACACTACGGGTGGGGGGGGGGCATCATTATTATTATTTCATAGACTACACAGCATTCTCTTCTACTGTGGAAAAGAGCACACAAATAAATTGCATTTGTGTTGGTAGTTTATGGGTGCTATACATGGATTAACTGGATTAACTGATTTATGCCAGTTAACTTTTAAAAGAACTTACCTAAAAAATAATGGAATCGTCCCACCAGACAGCCGATCTATGCATTATGACAATGATTTCCAGAAATGTATTTACAAAATAAATGATGATTATTGTCCTGTTCTCCTGTATACGTTTTATACTTATGAGTGGATTCAGTGGCGAGTTCAAATGTGGGGTGGGGGTGGTGTACCTCCTAAATTTTTCTAAATTATAAAAGAAAATGGAGAAAAAAGGAAATTGTAGTGTTATTGAATTTAAGTCTGAGTGTGTCACTTCCGGTTCCGGCAATCTAGAGTTGCCAAAATCATAAATTTTCTTACCTCAGCCCCAACCATGGTGGGGCTGAGGTGAAAGTCCCTACCTGGGGGCCCCTTCTATTTTGAATTCCTGGACTATGACACAATTAACAGCTTGTTTCATTATAAACGCTCATTTCATCACATATTACCTTCAAATCCATGATAGTATTAAAATAAAGTGTGTTGATGTGCCACCAAGAGGTGCAGGGAAAGGAACTTAATTGTTTTTCAATAGTTGATAGACCTCATCTCTTCCATTGGTGAATCCACAACAACTGGAACTGATTGAAGAAATGATGTACCAGTTATACTTTTGGAGCTAATACTAAAATTATTATTAAGTATTTTTTAGAGCATTTTTAGAAACCAAATGCCAGCAAAGCGACCATTTAGAAGGTGCTTGTTTTGAAAATGAAAGTGTTGTGTGTGCGATTTTTAATAGCTTTAATGTTTTGTTCTGTTGGTAACATTAATGACACTGGCAATGGAGTTTTTAAAAAAGAAAATACAACTCATTTTAAGTATATTGTTATCTTTTGCATACAAATTTTGAAAAATGGATGAACAGTAAAATGAACTCAAACAAACTCATGTCACATCAGTTTTCTTTATTAGTCATTTACAAACAAGTGTCCATGATTTTACCTTCATTCTTTTACACTGGAAGTATGTTATTTCATCTTTAAAATCTCTCTTAACATAGCATATTTCCTTTGAACAGGTTACCACCAATGATAGTGAATGTTGGTTGAGGTGCTTGCTTTCTAATTCCAAGGTTCGGGGGTTCAAATCCTGTCATTTCATTTCATTTCGGATCTGGTGTGAATGCAGGTTTAGCCTATACGTAGTGTGTATAGCATCTAGTGCTTATTAATTGTTTTGTCAACCTATGACCTGCACAGTGATATATTATTCGTTCTTAGCAATCCTGGGCTTATGTTCCTAAATAAATAAATAAAATAAAAATATTGACCTGAACATACATCTCTGGTTATGACACTTGAACACCATTGGTCATAACCTTTCAACCTACATCATTGGAGATGGTGTATTTCTCTGGCTAGTCTCCTCATCCTTTTCTCTCTTATGTTTATGTTTGTGTTTGTTTTTCTTCTTTTTCTTTTTGTGTAATTTATCACTGTTGAGTGAGTCCCTGGAGGCTGAATGGCTCAATTGTGGTGTCAGCTCACGGTCTGTAAAGGCTGGGAATGAAACCCTGTCTGAATCACCTAGGGAGAACAAAAAACAGTATTTTTATTAATTTTGAATACACTATAAACATTCTTGGTGAAAACACTCATTATATATATACTGCTACAAAAACATAAAGAATATATATAAAGGAATATATTTAGAACTTTTTCAATTTTCTATGGAGACTTGAACTTGGGTCCCTTGCTAATTGATAGTCAGTTTTTATTACTTTAAAGTAGTGTCATAATAATTTTGACCTCCTTACCTATAACTGGTGAAAGGTCCATTTCCTGTTTGATGGATCCACCTGGAGTTGGTGGGGAAGCAATATCAGAGATGTTACCACCAGGAGTGGGAGGACGCACCTCATCGTCTACATGGTCCTCTATTATATCATCATGGTGACCAAGTGTGTCAATATGTAAAGGTTCCTTCAACTCTGACTTTATTTGTTTAGTTGAAACATCCTGAAAACAAAAACCAGATAATCAAGCAAAAATTAATATTAAACGATAATAATTTTAGAACCTTTGTCACTAAAAGCTAGCCCACATGAAATTTATGTGCTTTTACAAAATTGATTTTAAACCCCTAGATTTTTTGGGGGTTTTCTCCAGTAATAATTGTATCTATATTTACATCACTTTTCCAAGTTACTGTTTATATTAAACTTGAACAATTCTTGAGAAATAAGTGTAGGGAAATGTAAACACCAATGCAATGTTGTCCTAACCCCTGAAAACTGAATATATTAATATCTTCATCCTGGTAACTCACATAGTCCCATCCACCTGGTAATATGCACAGTAAGACAGTATAAAAGCAATACATTAAGGGATCTACTGTACCTTTACTTCAGCTGAGATTCCACTGGTCTTGGATAACTTCTTAATGGCAGGAGACAGGTTTTCGGGTTTCCTCTTACGTGTATCGTTGGAGACAGTTTCTGTAATATCCTAAACAAAACAAAAAACAATACATGATTGTGTAGTGTAAAAATAGACACAATACCAGTAGCACTAGTATTCATATTTTTTTCTATAATTATTTTCTACCTAATTCTTAAAACAATATTTGTTTCAACAATAATTATTGGGAAATTAACTATCTGCCCTTTACGTTACTTTGATGTCAACCAAAATTTACTTACCATTGGATATGGATTTGCAGTATTATCTTCTTTAACTAATAAGGGGTTCAGTAATGTCTTCTTCTCTCGTAAATTCAGAACCATTCCCAGCTGAGAATTTTTAAACACAATAACGTTCATCTGCATTATTATCAATGTAATTAACAGTATCATCATTAAAACCATTTTTACTGATGTCATCATTAGCATCTTCATCAACATCTTCATCAATGTTATCACCATCATTATCACTGACACCATTCATCAATGTCATCATCATCGTCAACGTGTTGGGCTGTACATACCTCAGGAATTGGAAGGAAAGATGGTCTATTGCGGCCAAACAGGGTGTAGTAGAAATCAACAGCGTCACAGCGCAACCGAGAATCATGGGAAGTTCCAGAACTAAAGAATGGATAAAAATTAATGAGCTTTGCATTGTTACCCATGGAAAATATATCATTTATCATTGACTTTCTGGTAGCTAATGAAGCAGCCAAAATATAATTATATACAGTATAAAAAAAAATTCACTATACTGCTGTAGGGAGATGTTTCAGTAGGGTGGGGTATGTAACACTATCTTGGTAAGTTGTTTGATGCTTACTTCATAAGCGCCCATATCCTTTCCACAAGAGGTTCATTACACAATGGTGACGAGTCCTTCTGTTTGAACGGGGGGTTCTTAATCAGCATTCGTAATACTTTATGTCTGAAATAAGTAAATATTTGTGCACTTCATAATTATTCTGCTCACTTTGATCAAAGACTAATAGAAGCATAAAATACAATATCAGCATTTGTATATCTAATACACGATATAAATTAAAGATATTTAATGTAATAGGAACATAAGAAAATAAGCGAGGGGGAACAAGCATGAATATCATTTCTACCAGCCAATCTGGCAAGAGCCAATCGGCAGGCAACTTGGCAAAAAAACAAACAAAAAGGCATCTTTGTTATTTGCCAAACCAGTGTCTAAAAGGTCACCATTTTCAACATTATGCTCAATGTCTATAATTGTCATCATTGGCTTACTGCACTGCTTGGAAGACTAATAGATTGGTGATCATCCAATATTGACCATAGAAACATTTCAATTTCAAACTGCAGAAGGAATGTATTGTATATTCTTACCTTACATATGGCACAGGATCTTGCTCAACGATGTCCAATAACCAAGAAAATACATCAGCACCATAATTATTAACACCCTCCACTTGAAAATAAACAAGAAAACAAAAATAAAAAAAATATTCACACTGTAATTATTCAAGATTTACACTTCATAAAAAAAAAGGCCTTGGCCTCTCGTTCAAGTAATACGGACCTACCTTTAACATAATCAACAAGAGCCTTTAAGGCTGCGACTCTTATCTCAAGGAAATGGCCGTACTGCGCGTAGGTCTGGAACAATGTGGGGTCACTAGGTATGTGGCTGTTCTTCTGCAGCATCCTGATGGCATTCAGACAACTGATGGAGATAGTGTGGTGGTAACATGGCAACATCTTCTCTAGATTCAGACATCTGGTGACTTCTTCTAGCACCAACTGTGGATGTGTAATAGAAATTAAGACAGCAGAAAAAAATGAGGAGAGAAGTGTATATTCTAACTAAACTGAGATGGATACATATGATAAAATATTGAGCTGACATTGCTATCTTTAGGAAGGAAGAAATGGAAGCAGATAACTGATATCAAGACTCATGAAAGGATGAAGGCATTGTACTCCAGAATGAATGTTGTGCTAATATGAAAAATGGATTTGCTGACTTGCATATTTAATGTAAATGAAAATGGAAATTGACTTGTATAGCGCCTTTACACAATTGCACATCGTTTTAAAACTAAAACATCAGTTCAATTTGATAAAACAATCTAATAGCAATAATACCGGTCCTATAATTTTAGTTTTAATTTTGATCTGCTGGCTAGAAAGGATGAAGGCACTATATGAAACTTCATGAATCTTGTGCTTATAATATGAAGAATGGAACTGCTGAATTGCATATTTAAGTGATAAAACATTTTAATAACATTAATAAAAGTCCTATACTTTTAGTTAAAATTTGGTTTATTATACCTTTGTTTCAGGGGAGAGGTGCTCCACACTTGTAGTCACCATGGCAACAGCTGGTGTTATAGTTTCTGTTAGTGCATCAATTAAGGCAGCAATATAATAATTATCTGAGTACTAAAACCAAAAAAAAACCAGTATTAATTTAATACAAATTTAACATTAGAGGTTACTTTTTGATACATAATAATCTTTATATTAATGTTATATAATTATAATTATATAATTTAGATGAAAGTTGTAAAGAAATCAGGTAAGGATAAATGCTTGTAGAAGTAACAATACAAGAATTTATACTGTAGATGTGTTTTCAAAATACTGTAGAATCTACATCTATCTATCTACATGCTTACTCTATTGGTCCTGTTGTCGTTGTACTTGATAAGATCTGTGAGAAAACTGAGAGTTTCCTTTGGACATACACGATGAGCATCCCGGATGTAGGCTAATGACATTGGCAAGGCCTAGTAATGAAAATAAAGTAAGACATTATTACAAGACTAAAACAACAATTCATATACAGTAGGTAGCAGTAACTAGATAAATAAATGACTGACACATAAGTTCATTTTGGTAGCAATGAATGGATGGATTATGGATGGACAGATGGGCAGAAACAAACATACTGATCTATCAATATATGAAGAGGTCAATCAATTAAAAGTTGAATAGATACTTTTAAGTAAATACCTTTTGTAAAAAGTACTCTTGAAAATTGGAAAAATCATTCTGCTTGATGATTTGCCTGCAATTATATGCTCCGAAAAGGTCATAGAAAATCTCCATGAGGGCAGAGCTGCCATTAAACGAGGCAAACAGTTCATTTGCAACCTGAATTGAAAGAGAAAATAGATGATTTATTATTCACTGATCAAATGTCATGTTAATATTAGCTCCAAAATACAGGAGAGCAACAAGGCACTTTCATTATTTTTATTAGGAATATGTTTAATTAGCTATAATCTTTATGATTAATATAATCGCAAGGTACTTTATCTGCATGTCTTTCTTCAATTAGGAGTATAAATGGCATCTGATAGTATGTGATTGTTTTAGGAGAATGTCTAAGGCCTGTAGGAGCTTTTAAATACAAAATGATGTGGAGAGGGAGACAGTGCAATGTTCAGGTGATTTCAGTTGTGTATGACAGCACACAAATTTTGCTTGTGAAATTTATATTTTACATTTTCATGAAATGAGATTAATAAGTAGTGTGACCTGCCTGAAGTAATGCTCATGAGAACTGAGTACTACCACTGTTTATAATGACATTTGATGATGGTGATGATATAATCATGATTATCATGGTTATGGCGATAAGGATTTCATAATGTGTTCCTAAAATAAACCCACGTTAACAATGGTCATGGTCATGTCAATAATAATAATAATAATTATTAATAATAATAATAATGTTACACTTGTATAGCGCATAATGCCAGACAAAGCTTCTATGCACTTCACATCATAAAAATAATAAATAAATAAAATAAAATAAATAAATTTAAAACAAAAAGCAAAAAAGAAATAAAGGCACAACAAAAGAAAATGCAGAATCTCTGAGATGACACCGTCCGCCACCCTACTAGCGCAATCCCGGACTCCTACCTTTGCAGCTCGAGCAAAGGAACAGGATACAGATTTGCCCTGCCAACGATGATGATGATGTTGAAGCCAACTCTTTACTTACCTTTGATAAGCCCTCTGCAGCTTCAACTCTGACCTTGTAAAAGGCTGTTTTGTCTTTAATGATGCTACCCAAAGTCTGAATAGTCTCTGTACTAGGAAACCTTTGTAGAGCTGTGATGGCCTAAAAAATATAAATAGTAGTAAAAGGCCGGTATTAGTTCAGTTGTACAGTAGTAACTTAACATATACACCAAATGTATTACGATTAATTGTGATTAATATAATTATATGTTTACACAACAATTCTCTATAAAACATGTTCATTATCTGCAGAACATTCTTACTGACTTATAAATAATTTAATATAAATTATAAACATGGGACATTAGGTAAAAAAAATATCTTACCTCTAATTGTGCAGCAATATCTCGTTCAAACTTCAGCTGGTACTGCCACTGGAAATCAGGCTGGTCAAAGCTTACCTGACGTAGTAAGGTCATCTCTGTGTCAATCCTTATCCATAACACAGGTGAATCAGCACTGTGTGCCAAGGAGATAGAGAAATTAAAACAGTGAATTAGAAGGTGACTTAATAATTAATTAAAGTTCTGTCCATACTATCAAATTCTCTTTGCCAAAAAACTGTTGTATGCCCATATATAGTCATGATGCACCTATATATGGTCACAATGTGATGTCATCACAACCATATTCAGGCATGTCACATGGTTTTGTCAAATAAAATTTTATAGTTTGGTCAGGGCTTTTAAAAAATAGCTACTTTATGATAAACCATGCAATAAATAACTCCAAGCTGACTTACTCCATTGCACTCAAGTCCATGTCTACTTCTTCTCCATTCAACAATGGTATCTTTTTCTTCTTATGTCTGTTGAAAAAGTAAATTATTTAAGATAAATGCTATAAATTTTTATAATCAACTGTATGATTATTTGTGCTGGTTCTTATGGAGATGGTATCCTTAGCAACATAACTTACCTTCTACTCTTTGAGTGACATGTGATTTCACCTTTGACCAGGTTGTCCTCAACTTGCAGAGTGTGTTCAAAGGATCCATCCAGTTCCTGTATTGTCACTTTCAGGGGACCCTGGATAAATACAGAATCCACATGCCATTTTAATTGCCCTTCTAGCACAAATTTGGCATTCTCTAACTTTGACGACTTAATAATATCATATACTGTAATAACATACATTATCAGTAGGATGTTGAAAAATTGGTGATAAAAATATTTTTTTAATTCAAAATTTCAATTGAAATAAAAAAAATATATTTAAATAGTAAAAATCTAAATATTAAATTGACTACTTTGTTCTATTTAGCTAAACACAGACTGTATATCTTAAATGAAGCTTCTCCCAAGTACAATTTGCATAAGTCTGCTGCAATCAACTCACCACATATTTGAACACACCTCTCCTGCTTGGGTCCTGCCTAATCTCAAGTTCTACGATGTTGCGCTTACGGTTGAATATGAAGTTGCCATGGAAACGAACTATACCACCTTGAGTCACCCACTGTTCAATGAATGTGGTGAGATCCTTACCAGACACGTTTGACAGTGCTTTGAGAAACTGAAAAGAAAAACATAAAATAAATAATAATAAAACTACTTTACTATTACGACTTTAAAATGTAACAGTGGGAGCGGTCAGTCAGAAGTCCAAATCCGTTGCTATGCAATTTGTTTGTGTCCTTGAGCAAGGCACATTACCTATGGTTGTCTCTCTCCACATGCAATTATAAAGTGGGTACCTGGTTAAATTACACTGTGCTGATTACTAGTTGAACGTGGTAATCATCAGAAGCCTTGACATGAAAAGCTATTCAACTTATTATAACAATTAAATGACATATAAAGAAGCATCTTACCCCTGGTGTTGATAAGAGTAGGTTGTACCATGCATTTGCCAAGAAGAACTTCTGCTGTGCTGCTGCAGAGGCTAGAGACAGCAACTTGTTAAACACCTGTTTGTAGAATATCACAGAAAAACACTGTCAATGGTAAATAGCTGGTATTGACCCAACAACCAGGAGTAATAAGAACAACATCGCCAGCACCTTGTATCCATTGGCAAAAGGTACGGCATAAATCCCTATATTATTATCATTATTTGTGATACAATAGTGTGTGTATTTTTGTGGAGAGCACACAATTTTTTTTTGCATTATACACCTTAAAATTAACATTTTAGTAATTCTGTCAATAAATCATAAACTTGATCTTGTATCATTTCAAAATTCTTAAATAAATTGTTGTTTCATGATCCCTAAAGCCCTGTCCAGAATATCAAAAAAAGTGTTGTATGCCCATATATAGTCATAATGTGCCTATATATGGTCATGATGTGCCTATATATGATGATTGATATGTGCCTATATATTGATGATGTAACAACATCATGACCAAATTTTGATATGTCACATATTTTTGTCAAATCAAATTGATAGTCTAGACAGGACTTACAAAACAAAAACACTGACAACTATTTCTGTACCTGCAGCAATAGCTCCTGGCCAATTCTTAGCTCAATCAACCTCATTATCAAATGAGATTTTGTAGCTAACATTTTCGCATACTGCCAAGAAACGGTGTGTGAGTGATTACGAGGGAAGTGCAGATGGCTGGATGAATCAACTTTGGTCGGAGTTAACGGCTCAGGGCACAGGGTCAAACCCCCTATATCCTGCTCATACACACACAACTCTTTCAATTCCTATGATAATAGAAAGATAATTAACAGTTTGCACTCGTTAATTTACAACTTAAATATTATATCAAAAATGAGTTAATTTACATCAATCATCAATGATGTTGGTAATCTTTAATATTCTCCCAATTAAAACATTATGTAATAAATGTCAGGTTAAAGTATTACCTTATAAATAATACTCCTATATTCATTCATACCAAACACTTTCTTAAGATAGAGTCCACACAAGTATTTTGAAATTCCCCTGACAAGCCAAGCATCGTTCCATGATTGCATGTTGATAAAACACGTGAAAAACTGCTCAGCTAGCGCTTGGGCCAAGATCTTGCGAGTTAGAAACGTCTGGTCAATGATGCGCCGTGTGTGGAGGAGGTTAGTGCTATATCACAAAGATAAAAAATTGGATTTTTAGTAAAAAAAAAAAAAAAAAAAACCAATGAGAAAGTGCACTAATCTGGAATTTATATCTTTCAAAAGTGGCAGTCCCACATGTCTATATAATGTGATTATTTATAGCCATCACAAGGCTGAAATGTTTAGGTTGTTTTTATTTTTAACAGACATAAAAAAAATTAAAGTTGGCTCACATAAATTACTATGTGAAAACACTGTACTAAAACGTTCTTGTAGTAATTTTGAAAAAAATCACTGTTATATTAAATTCAGCTATTTCAATCATAATATCAGTTGTTGTATTAATCAGAGTGACCTTACTTGAAAATAGTCATGGTTGAGTATGTATCAGCCTGGACAAATGCTTCATCAACGAAGACTTGTTTGTAGCATGAGAACGGATACCGTGAACTTAGGTTCTCCTCAAAAAATTCAAAAACCTGAATGAAAAGAAATGAATTACAGCAAAGAAGCAAGGACCATTTCACAGCATTGTATAGCAGCACTAATGTATTACTTAAATGGACCACTCAAATAAAAAAGACACTAATACTCAAATATATACAGCACACTTAAAATTCAAAATAAAAGCACTGCTCAAAATACAAACAGTACCAATCACATACAGTAAGATTTATTACCAGACCACCCAAATATATACATAGTACATCAACACCACTTAGCAACATAATCATACAAAAAAGTACAGAAATGACTCATTAATAACAGAACTAAACTGCAGCACACATCAAAAGCACACTTGCAGCTATAAACACAATATATTCAAATAATATAATAGCCCCAATAGTTGAAAAATTCATCCAGTTTGTTATTGTTTCACACACCACTTAAAACAGTACCACGTTTTGAATATAAAACACAGTAGCAACACTCTCTACCAGCTCAAAGGAAAACAAATACATGATTGATGCTTACCTCATGAATAAAATCTGTTGAATGCTCAAGTATTGGTTTCAGTTTCGGAAGGCAAAAATGTGTGACCTCTGGCATATAAGGATCAACAAGTATTTCAAAAGGCCTGGGGAATAAAAAAAAAAATCATTAGGATTATAACAACAATAACCACCATAATTTGAATACTGGGCCTTTCATCAAACAGTTATATAATATCATACATTACATACCCCACTGCCACCGCTATATTGGGTGCTGCAGTCGGAATTGTCAACACGTAATGAAATGTTTTCTTGCGCATATCCGGTGTATAGACTGTCTCATACAGATCACCACACGACACTGCCACCATTGAGGCGTCTACGGTGAACTCCAGCTTCCAGGTACACGGTTCCGAGTAGGAATCAATGCAGGGGAACCACAGGCGTGATGAATGCTCATACGCATATGTGAAGAGATGTGCTCCACGCTGCAATGCATAAAAATAGAGTATGATAAATACATCATCTCTTTTTATTTTAGTTGTTTTTGTGTCTTGTGTTTGGAGTGAATTTTGAGTTGTCATATTTATAAGCAAGTAACACCTTTGCTTTTAATTCTTGTAACCTGCTCTTCTGTATTGGTAGCTGTTACCTATCCAGTTATTTTTGTTGTCAGCATGAAAAATGGCTTTGGAAGTAAACATACTCAAATGATTGATTGATTGATTGAGCATAGCAAAATATTTTATATTGGATCCATTCAAACTATCAAGGTAAATTTTAAATTCCACATAACATATTAATTGTGTTAAAAGGAATGAAACAAAATGGAGTATATAATATCCACCCATCCCTGCAACATTCTGAGATATTTATAGGAAGAGTAAGCACTTACTTCATCCATTGTTCCTTCAGTTTCTGGTACAACAAAGTGTAAGCCACCTTGGGGGCGCTCTAAGGAAAACTCAATGCTGATCCGTAAAGGTTTTTGCTCTGAAAAACATTTGTATATTTTTAATTTCTCATAGATATTCCTTACTAGTAATTAATAAATTAATATTGATAAAATCATGAAATATAATAAAAATGGAGAAATATTATGTTATGAATATCCCTAATCTACTTCAAATTCAAATACTAACAAACCTGAAAGAAGGTGGGATGCTCCATGAGGTATTTTGATGGTCAACTCCCCATTATTCTTGTCCGTGTCAACTGAACTAACCGCATCATAGTGGCAACCAGAAAAGAAGTTCAAATTACGCCTAGAAAAAAAATTTTACAATTTTTTTTTATCGTAGAAAGTTAATAATATCGGTAATACTATAAAATAATAAACGTACTTTCAGGTTTTATTATTTCAAAACAAATCTAAGTATTATTTTGGTTTGTGCTGGTGGTAATGATGATGATGATAATACTTATGATGATGGTACTGTAATAATAATAAAAATAGTGATGATGATGATGATGATGATGATGTACTTATGATGATGATGGTAGTACTAATAATAGTAAATAATGATGATTCCACCATTTACAGCAACAAAATTGACAAAGGTCAAAGGTTAATTGTCGATATGGTATCTCATTTTGTGTGTGTAAATGTATGTAAACCATGAAGTGAAACTTACTGCCTTGAGTCAGATTGGCAGATCTCCAAGGTCGGGTCATTGTACATAAACGATGCTTCCCAATAATCATTTATACAAACTCTGTAAACTCCTGGTAGTTACTCTTAAGTTAGGGATTCAAATTTTATATTTTTAAACAGGATAACGTTGTCACTAAACAACAGGCACAGAAGACTGTCCTACATGTTTTTTCAAATATTCATATATTATATATATTCATTATTACCCAAATTAAACTAGATTTTTAAAAATACTATGTCTACATTATATTGTTACTGTATATTCAATCAAAATATAATTAAAACACTATTCTTTTATTCCCACTAAAAGTTAATCAAATAGAAGATTTGATTTTTTTGCAAAGGATACGACATTGTTTGCTGTTTATCTTGATTTTGTTTAAGCTTGGTTTAATAGGAACAACATGAAGCTCTGTGTACCCCTGAAAAATCAAGAGAAATTAATAATTTCACAAAATTGTATCATTATCTATCTCAAAGACAAAACATACATCTACAAAATAGACAGTTCCTCCAAGATAGTGGCTGTTCACGAAATTAACAACTAGACTGAAATCCAAGTTTCAATAGCAAACCTTCATTCAGATGAGATGTTTCAGCTGTTGGTCCTGTGTGCAATATGGTCTATCATCTTAAAGAATGTTACACTCTTTGGAAAAGGTTGGGAAATTGTCTCCCGGCCTACTGCCCAAATTACCACCAGAAGGACAACGATGGAAATAAGCCTTTAGACTTTCGTGGGTTAACCATGGTGTGTTTCATTCCAAAGAAATCCAATCCAATCAATGCATTAATTAATCCGCACATTAGTGTATTACATTTTATCAACGGCTATTGATGATTTTAATAGCAATCTCAAAGTTGTTTTGGATGGATCAGTAAAATAAATATCTTTTCAATAAATTACAATTTTTTTTTATTCAATACTTACTATGATTGATTTTCTTTGAAAGTTAAATCCAGTGATACATAGAATCTGGTGACTCGTGCATACAAAAAGAAAAAACAATTACTGGTAATTAATTTTAATAACAGAAGCTGAACTGAAAGCCCTATAAATCATCAAGCTTATTATTAATCCCTGAAGCTTATATATGTATTAACAGGCCTAAAATTTGAATAATTTTATTAAAATAATTTGGATAATCTTACCACAGAGTATAGTCAACAACGGTTTAGGCCTAGCTCCCTTGTAAATTACTTTGAATACTTTCTACCAATCAAGATGCAACACAAACCCAACAAAAATTTTTTACAGTATAACAGAACGACACTGATATCTAACAAAGAATCACATTTGACTATCGAGTCACGTGACCTGAACCGCTAATGTTGTAACTCTCTATACCTCAGCCGGGAAAATTATACCTCTCCATGTGGTGAATCACTGCGTGAAAAGGTGATGTTGGCATACACTGGTAACCATCTATTATCTTGGAACCGCAGATACAAGGGTATATCCGGCATGCAATATTCTTTAGTGAATACTAGGCCTAGGGCCTAGACTAGTGCTAAGCCACATCCTACTTTCATGAAATATGAAGTGAAATAAATGTTTATGACTATCGAACGCTTCCTAGGCCTAGGGCCAGGGGCTATTCGAGGCCGATTTATGCCGCCGTCAGTAGTCCATCTGCTCTAGCTAGGCCTAGCCTAGGCTAGAAGGACGGGTAGGCCTAACTAACTTAGTGGTTTATACGCTTAAACAAAGAATAAATACAGAAAACGTTACACAAAATAAATACTTATAATCTGAAATCTCTTGGTGACTCGAATCTATCGAATTTTTTGCTACTTTTTGACATGGTTGACGTAAAAAATGAGAATAAACCTATTAGTACTTTAGAACACTACAATTTGGCCAATGCGGCCGACATGTTTTTCTTGTAAACTGTTTTGAAAGGTTAGCGCCATCAATGTGCAACTAAATTGTAGCCTCTTCAATGTCGTTTTAAACAATTGGTCAAAGAACCGTCGTGTAAAATATTATGAATGAAGATGTGTGGCGTCTGGAAAACTTGAACACGTCGATGAATAGATGTCAAACCTGCTTGTGTCGAGTGAGGTGTCTGTGTTTGTTTTTTATGACAAAATAACTTGTTTTTCTTAGGAAAATAGGTAAGTATAGTAACATATTTCGAGTTTAATATGACATTATTATCACAGTGAGAATGAAATGGAGTGAGTGAGAGAGGCTCCATCGAGAAGCACCTCCTATGCCTGTGATCGAATGAATGAACAGCCTCTCCAATCGCATTAAAACGTCTACTTATTTTCTCATTTTACAGGCGTTAGGTTGACGTAGGGCCTAACTATTGATAGTAGTTTATTTGTTAAAATCTGAGAGAGGAAAAATAATGGCAAGCCCAAGAACCAGGCGAGTTTTGAAAGACCTCCGCCTTAAACATAATAATAATGTGAGTACAAACAATATTATAATTTTTATGAATGATATTTCATAAATTTGTATTGTATTATGTCACTGGTGGTAGCCTAAGTGATGAATAAATGATTTTCCAAATAAATAGTATTAAAAAGTATGCTGTGGCTAGTGTTCTGGTGCCGGATTTGTTGTTTTCCGGGTCTAAAGCAATGGATTTCGAACAATCACAAAGTGAAGCACATGTTTACAAGAGTACACAAAATACTCTTTTCTATAATATCCCTCCCCTGAAATAGTACACAATGAATGTAAGGACTTATTTTTTTAAACCTTATCGGAGGAGGGCGGAATAACAATAAAAATAAAATTTTGTTTTCTTGTTTAGCAAATAGTTTTGCCAAAATCATCCAGACGAAGGAGAAAATAAAAATAAAATTTTATTGGTGAATGTAAAATAGGATGGTTAAATGCTTCAAATTGATATAATTAGGAAAAAATAAAAAAATAAAAAATTTAAGGCAGCGGAGGGTGTAATAAAATAAAGAAAAACTTTAATTTTTTTCTGAAATTTGCACTTTTTCGTGGAGGCGGGTGCGCTAATTGGCTAAAAATAATATTTTATTTTTATTTGAAATCATCAATATTTGCAGTCGGCAGGTTCGCTAAACAAGGTATAAAAAAGTCTTGCCTAATGCTGATGTATCAGTGGTTGTATTCATTAATACTAATGAGCAAAAAAAAATATTTTTTAGTATTTTATAACCATATTTATTAAATATTTTTGAAACCATCAGAACTGTTTCGAATGCAATGCCCACAATCCTCAATGGGTTAGTGTATCATATGGCATTTGGATCTGTTTAGAATGTTCAGGCAAACATCGAGGCCTTGGCGTTCATCTCAGGTGAGTTAACAAATATAGTGATACAATAGCTACCAGCCTGAAATATTAATAATATTACAGTAATGTCAAATTTTAGTTTGTTGTCCATGCCTTGAATGAAGACATGGGTAAAATTTTGCCAGAGGTTTTATACAACAAGATTGATTGGTGCCTCGTGACCTTATGAAACTGTTCCAAAACAAAATAATTTTCTTTTTTTTCCCTTTAGTTTTGTAAGATCAGTTACAATGGATAAATGGAAAGACATAGAGCTTGAAAAAATGAAAGCTGGAGGGAACAATATATGCCGAACATTTTTAAAATCGCAACCAGACTACGACCCAAACTGGAACATGCAAGAGAGGTGGAACAGCAAAGCAGCTGCACTTTTCAGAGATAAGGTCAGCAGTCAGCTTTGTAGCAGTGACGTATCTAGGGGTGCACGGCAAAAACCCCCCACCACCCAAAAAATATTCGTGCTCCGCCTCCCCCACCCCTCATTGAAAATAGTTGAAACAAAAAAAATTATGCTCAAGTAGTTAAAAATCACATAAAATCACCTTATTTTGCCTAATCATCGAGCAGCCTGCTACAGTACTTCATATTCACAATCTCCTCCCCCCCCCAATTTAAAGATTAACAAGGTTCACCAACCTAATCTAAGTATGTAAGATATTATACTGTGCCATCTTATTTAGATACTGATTTGTGTTTGCCATAGGTGTCTACCGAGGCAGCTGGCAAGACCTGGAATCAAAGCCTCTCACCTGCAAATAATCATGTAGCCAAGTCTTACGGCGGTCTCAAAACAGTTCACTCAGCGCCATCTTTTGGATCCATGTCTTCTACTAGTTCTAGCATCAGCTCTAATAATCAAAAGCAGTCACATGAATTTGAAGATTGGCTGAACACTGGTAAATCAAAGTAAGTTGACAATTGAAATTATTTGGCCAGCAGTTTCCATGAAATATCAACATTGAGGTCAGGGTTTTGAATGCTTTCGCTTGTGTCTTGGGAATGGGACTTTTACCTATATCTTTGTCTCTCTCCACCCAGGAATATAAATGGGTACCTAATGTGAAGTAAACAATTTAGAATGAAATCTGTTTTGGTAAGCTTAGGATGTGAATGAAATATGTTGCACAGTGAGTATGATTGATTTTGTATCCAGTAATCTAACATTAACAAGAAATATTTAATGAGTCTGGAATATTCTTTTCCTCAGAAAAGAAGCCAGTGCAGAGAAAGAAGAATACTTCTCCAGAAAACAGCAAGAAAATTCACTGAGACCTGAGTAAGTACAAGACACATCATTCTAGCAGGTAGACAGTATCATTGTTGGGTGTTATACAGTAAATAAATAAATTTTCAATATATTATATTATTGAAAACAATCATAATGTCATCATTTTAACTTCAATATAATTTTCCTGTTTCTGAGCTGGAAATACTTGTCACTAGTGCATTCTACACTGAGATAGTGATTGTTCTACCTGATAGTGACCATTTCTATGTATACAATTTATTATTGCTTATTATTAGCGTTGTTGTTAATACTGAAAAATTATCATTATCAGTATTGAGAAATGGTGTATTGCTAGATACCCAATTATACAGAATGGGAACATCAGGGCTGCCTAACAACTAAACACAATGCGAACAAAAGATCAAAATATTGTAATTATTTGAATAAACGCCCCCACTTTCAATAAACGCTCCCTCCAGAGCCTCATTTGGAATAAACGTATACATCGAATAAATGTCTCCCTCTCCACCGTAATGAAATATCAACATTGAGGTCAGGGTTTTGAATGCATTCGCTTGTGTCTTGGGAATGGGACTTTTACCTATATCTTTGTCTCTCTCCACCCAGGAATATAAATGGGTACCTAATGTGAAGTAAACAATTTAGAATGAAATCTTTTGACTGTAAACGAAACTAATGGAAGCAACATCATTCTCAACACATTCTATTAATAATCTACGTTACATTTTTTCTAACCTGGTTAAAATCGTGCAATGACACAAGTTGATTGTAATTATGTGATGTATTTCTACATTTACAGAGAAATTAAGGGCTGTTTATTTAAGTATATATACGTATCCAATTTACACCAAAAAAAAAAAAAAAATATCCCGTGATTAAACACCTCTCTCAAAAATTCTTCTCAACAATAGACACCCTGGGGCATTTATTTGAATAAACATGGTATAAAAAGTATAGTATATGTTATAACCAGTGTCCATTTAATCAGTAGAACTTTAAACTATTAGATCAGTATTCTAAGAGAAGGGTGTAGTTGATAGCTTCCTGTTACTGCTGATGGTAATGTCAATCCTGCAACTTCTGCAGTTACTACAGTATTACTTTGCTATGTCATTACTAGAAGAATACTTATTATCATTGCAGGAATTTACCCCCTTCCCAAGGGGGAAAGTACATGGGATTTGGCAGTGCACCAGCAGAAGCTGCACAGCAAAGCTATGGGGGAGATGAAATATGGCAGAGTTTATCATCTGTAAGTTTCATTTTATTTATTTATTTATTTTAATTTCTATATTCCATCTTCAGTACTTGGCAAGGGCGTCAATCCATTGGGAAAAGTGGGGGGGGGGGGGGGGTTGGCCAGCTGGGCCCCATTGAAATACTCATCATAAATTGTTTTTTCAATTTATCCTGGTAATCATAATCATGCCTGCTTACATATTTCATGCAAACTAACATTCATAAAAACAATGATTTATTATCTACTGATTAGCTTGTGACGTACTCAAACCATGAAAAACAAATGATAAACCACGTCCCTTCATGGATAAACTTACAACATTTACTCCAAGTCTCTTTGCATGTACAGTACTTTTAAAATCAATTAAGAGGTTTTCCCTTTTCTCAAATTTTTGAATTTCACATTTGTGTAAGTAGTATTTGCAACTACACTGTTGTGAGTGGAAATACACCGTCTAACTTACGATCAAAGAGGACTAAGGAGATAGGAAGCACACATAAAATTAGTTGGCATTTTTATTTCACAAACTTAAAAGGTGATTTACTTAATTTATCGTTATCATGATGTCAGGCGAGATTGCGTCAACGTAACATCGGAGTTTTTAAACTTGTGGTATCACTAATTAAAAAAGTCGAAATAGACAGACCTATCTTGTCAAAGGCTGTATAATCATTGTTTAACAACGGCTATATAAAATTCAGTTGACTAATTGTTTTGAAATTAGGATAAACAAGAATCTATGTATGCAGATAATATTGAACACTGGTATACTGTATGTGGGTCTTAATAATATCAAAAGGAATAAATCGTTTATAATAGAAATTGTGCTCTTTTGAGTTTGTAAAAAGGTTGGCCTAATATTTTTACACGCTTCTTATTTTAACAACTTACAGTACATTATTTTCATAATAAATTTAGCCTCTGATAACCGTTGCACCCATAAAATCGATGGAGTGGTTACTGAGATGGTTACAAAATTTACAAACAATTGCATTTTTAAGCAGTCTTGGTCCGGACTTGGAACAGAGCACAAGTGAACAGACAAAATTTAAGACAGTCATTTGTAATTGTGGTTGTTCTTTCCACTCGCTTTAAAAAGTGGGTTTTTAACTATAGGAAATTGGTGAAAAGTGTTCAAATGAAAAATATAAAAAAATAAAATAGGACAAAAATATGTTGAACAATCTGTTGCTCAGCCACTAAGGCATACAATATACATACTTTAAAATGTAAGCAACAGAGTTAGGATAATGCATAGGTACTACATAGTGTGGTTATACTTTGTACTATAATTCATGAATGACTGAAAGAATGAGCTACTCTTTTTTTTTCAATAATTCCTCTATTTTTGTACAACTTTCAAATCCTCAAAATAAGTCATATTTCTTAATAAATTTTTTACAGGGTTGGAATGCATTTACTGTAGGTGCAACAAAGGTCGCAAAGGCAACTAAAGAAGGGGTGAGTTTAAAAAAAAATATATAGTATGAAGGTTTGTTCAAGCTAGAACTCAAAGAAACTCATATTATTACCCCATTCATTGGATAAAGAAATTTACCAGTGTTGATGATGAGCATACTTTCGTTTAATGAGCAATTCAAAAGCTTCTCGATTATTTTGTACTATTAAGTAACTATCATTATTATTAGTTTAAGATTAAAAGTTTTATTGATAAAATTGTGAGTTACCGGTACTCATGTGAATAGACCTGCAGTTGATTTCTTGTCAGAAAAATGTATTTTTGGTTGCAATTCCTTTGTTGGAGCAATAGTCTTCCTATGATTTAGCTCACTCTTGGTAAATTTGGATAATCTTAAGCTTTCATTTATTGTTTAAAGGTATTTCTCTGTGAATTTCTGATTTTCATGATCTGATGGTACCAAAATCAACCAACCTTAAATGTTTTATTCAGTATAGTTTATAATCTTAAAAATAAATGATTATGAAATATAATTATTTAGTATAATATGTTAAAATATTTGTATAATGCAGTGGTGGAGCCAGCAGTTGGCAAAGGGGGTGCTGGAACAAAATGATTTTGTTGTTTCCTTCTATCTTACTGATGCTTATTTTTACATTATATTTGTCCTTATATTGCATTTTTGTACTTTATAAATTTTATTGACCTGGAGGTCAGAGTGGACCACTATTGGTGTTGGGTTTTACCCATGTCTTACTCTCAACCCCCTCCTGGTCATCTGAACAATTGTACATTTAATAATGATATTTCATAATTTGTTCCATTCATGTGTGAAATTCATAACAAATTAAATTAAATTAATATATAGATAATCAAATATGTTCTTTAATTGAGCTTGGCAGGGGTCCCAAGTTGGAATAAATCTGATCTGAATTAAATGAGCTTTCTCAACACATTTAATTTTATTTTGCTGCACTTAATGATACACATCGGCACTGACATCTATGAGACAATTGATAATGAAATAGTGAAGACATACCAATAAATATTGGTTATTTTCTGGGAGATTCTTGCTTGCTTGAGGGAAACTTGTGAACCCTGGTTGAGTTGTCCTCAGTTTTAAAGCATGTCTCAGGCAGTTTACCTCTCTAAAGAAAAGAAGTTTGAGTGGAGTTGAATAGCTTGGTAGAAAGTTGCTTGCCTTCTAATCCTTGGGCCTCAGGTTCAATTGCTGTCATGGTAACAGGATTTCTTTTCTCAAATTCACAACCAAAAGCAACTCCATTTCCTAAGCCTCATCATAATGAAACTTAGTCTCTGTGGAGCATCTTATTGTATGTTTGTTTTGTGAAGGGATTCCCACTTAGAAAAGTGATTAAGTTTGCTGTTTGGTATATCCTTGCCCCTTGGGCCTGAATTTTTAATAAAAAAGTAAAGCTGTCGCATCATGACCCCATTTTAAAAACAAAAACAAAAGCTGGTACCAATCCTTGGTTTTTATATGCCTTGTATTGGGACTTCAAATTGGAAGTTGTAAGTATTATTCCACATGGCATTTGTAGAAAACTAATATCAACATGTATTGTTAATTCAGATAGACTATAATTCAGAATGGATTTTTAAAAAAGAAAAGATTAAACTCCGTTTGTGAAGTGTCCTAGAACACTTTTCAGAAAGCTTACTAATTTTTAACTACGGCATTGTCACCGTGCCCTACCACCAGGTGACTATATTCAACTGACCATTAAGTGGTTCAGGTACACTGATTTTGTATAGAATGTTGATGAAAGCATTTTAAACCTTAGAATTAGTAATATGGACAAGTTCATTTCCTTGAAGGGGGGTTGTATTGAAATATTATTTAAAAATATAAATTCACCCTCCCTCTCCCTCCTCCTCCCTTCTTAATTTTTTGCCTAATCTTAACAAATATACTTTTAAAATAATATTGAAAATTAAAACCAATACTAGAAAAAGTAATTTTTAATTTTGATTTATTAAATGTTGTGTTTACTCGTATAATTGAAGTACATCAAACCATACACTAGATGGTTGATGTTTGCTTTTCACCTACTCATCAGTTTTTGGTCAATACACTTACAGTCGTCTGCATCAGACCAGTTTAGATCAGTACTATGTGTTGTCTCTTGTTTGTTGCAATATCTTTCTGTTTTTATGGAGTCGGTAAGTACTAGTGCATGATGATAAATAAACCAACACATAGAAAGTAGGAGTAAATTTTATGTTTAAAGTACAGTGTAATGAGTGAGCTGAAAATGTGTTAAATAAGATGTTGAAAGTTTCAGAATTTCTCATGCATAGTATCCATCTTTTTAATTCATGTGCAAATAGAGTTTAATTTAATTACAAAATTTGTTAATGTTTGAATGAACAGTTTTAACAGATCTTAAAAATCTTTCCCTATTTTAAAGTTTCTTCACATTTTTATTCTCCTCTTAGTGTTTGATGTTTATTTTTAAAAACTATTTTTTGACATTAAACATGTAATGTGGTGTTTTGTAAATTCCTATTCTTAAGCTTTTAAATCTTGCTGAGTAAGTCATTTTTCTGTTTATATTTTATGTATTACAGACAGTAAAGTTCCTTGAATCTTGAATAGAGGACAATTAAAAATATGATTGGTGTAATCAAAGATTTTTAAGATTTAAGAGTCTGAAATAGATAATAGTTATGTAGGTTTTTGTGTGAAAACTACAGTCCAATGATAATAGTAATTTAATAAATACATTTTAAAAATATTATGAACTACTATATTATTAGTGTTTTGGTTTTTGGTTGAATAGAGTATAATGTTTGAGAGTGTTGAGACTTGAAATTGAGTGGGTAGCAATGATTAAATTAGTAATTATTTAGGCAAGGTAGTGGCAGTATGTTTGAGAATTAACAAGGTTGGTACAGAGGTCAGTACATAGGTACAGTTTTCAGTAGTAGGTAGCTGAGTAGCTAGTTACAGTATAAAACTATTTGGCTTTAAGAGGCCAGTGGGTTAGTAAATTTGGTAGGTATGGTGGTTTGGTTGGTAGGTAGTCAGGTATGCTGGCAAAATGACAGATAAATAGCATAGGGTATTTCATTGATAAGATGATATAATAATCAATTATCACTTATGGTATATAGATCAAATGATCACTGATTTTAAATATTTAGCTACAGTAACACAGAAGTGTCTTACACATTTTGAATAATAAGGTATTAAAAATGATGAAAATGGTTAATTTTGGAATAAAATGATGATTTTTTTTTTTAATAAACTCTAAGGTATCAAAGTTGTTGTGCAGAACATGCCATAGTGACCCACACAGGAATTATCGTATAACAATAGGTTCTTTCAATTCTTGTTTGATCTCATGCATTATTGATAACAGTTATTTAAAATTTTGAAGGCTAATAGTTATTTAATCTACTGACAAGGTCCATAAATATCAGATGACTTTGGTCAGGAAAAGAACAATTTTACAAAATTTTAAATCATTTTAATTTGAGATAGTAGTTAGAAACAGAGAAACCCTTGTAATTGTTTTCCTTTTTTACTGCATCATTATAAATAGATATTTAAACACATTTTCCAGACTTAGGCATGCTCTAAGAGAGTCTATAGAAGTGCCATCAATAAAAAAAAATCACTGCTCAGGCCCAACCATAGTGGAGGGTAATAGTCTTCTCAAAATGATTATTCCTTCAAAAATTATTTCCAAATAGTAGAAGTATTTATTTTGCTGCGTTTCTTATTGATCCTTTGGAGTATGTAGATAACAACACTTGAAGTTGAAATATCAGATTTAAAATTATAAAAAAATCAGACTGGCTGATGGCAACACAACCATTTTTTTTCCCTGCTTTATGCAGAACAGTATTCTGCCAAATCTGCTGATATTATTAAAAAGGAATATAACATGCTAAGAGAGAGAAGGTAAGCAAAGGTTGTGTTAATGAAAAGCCAACCTGAAAGAGAATAAGGCAGGCAGACAGACATAATCAATTTATAGGGAAATGTTTTTTTTTTCATAAATTTAGCTTCATGTACATTCAGTAATGATTTTTTGCCATGGTAACCAGCTAATTTTGGTTTATCCTTGCTATGGTTAATCTTCCATGTAAATTATATTCATGTATGGTACAGATACATACACTTTCTTCTGTAGCCTCATGTTGGTTGCTCATCAGATTTATGTTGTATTTACATGAGATTTTGTGTGTAGAGTGTTACTTAGTAACGATAGGGGCATTGGTGATAGCTAGAAAATAAGGCTGTTTCAGTACAGGTAAATGTATGGTTTACTGTCAGTTGGTAAATATCAGGTATGCATTTGAATATCAATTTTATTATTGACAGACATTATAGGAAGTATTGTCAGTGTTATCATTGATAGTCATTTATTATATTATTTTAAGTACATAGGCAAATGATTGCCAAAAGCAAACCTAATCGCTGTCGTATACACCTTATCGGGTGTTTGTTGTGTTGACATTGGTAAGAGTGTGGGTTGTACCCAGTGCTGGCATCAGCAGCGGCAAGGGGGCGGGGGCGGGCACAACTCATTGGACCAAAAAAGTTTTAAAATATATTCTTTAAAAAAGAATTATTTAGGAATAATTTGTGGTAAAATATCTTGGAACAGCAGAAAATGGCAGAAAATTACCACTTTTTTGAGGTGGCTCATACTAAGGCTGTACCCTAGTCCCCCCCCCCCCACCTGTTCTCTGTACCATTACTTTATCATTTGTAGACATGAGGTATAATTTGTACTATGAATTTAGTAATTGGCGCATCTGAATGGATCAGTATATAATGCTGTCATCTGTTCCCATTATGAATCCAAAGCTTAGAGCACACTGCATCGATATCCACCATGATTCCATGAGTGATAGTTGCAATGCTGACGGCCGCTTGGTGCAGAGTGAATTGTTTGTGATAATTTCCTGTTGTTGATTGTTCTTTTATTCTTGTCTTATTTCACTTTCAGGCAGTAAAATTTGGCTCCGCAGCTTCACAAAAAGTAAGTATATTTTTTTTTTTCATATATTTATACTTTGTGTGTTTTATTTAAAAATGTTAGTGATAATTCATTTTTTCTTATTCATGAATTGTATTTATTTTAATAATTATAGATTTATGTATACCAATTTTGTAATATGAATATATATTATATATTGTACATATATAAAGGAAGGATAAAACATGGTTTCATTTTTATAATTTTATTTATACAAATAACTTTTATTCTTATATCTATTTTCATGTCACTTGTCCAACACAGAGTGTGATGCATCATTTTCAAACCAGATAGACCCAATCCCCTGCCATTATTCCCTTTCCCACAGCTTCTTATGGAGTGTGAATCTGGATTCTGTATAACATTTCCTACTACCAACGTTTTCCAAATTTATTGAATATGACTATGAGCCTACACTTTTTTTATGCTATTCACTTGTGTTGCATGTCTATACTATGCATCATGGACCAAAAGAAATGGACATTTTTTATATCAAAAATTGGGTCATTGGTTCCATATTTAGGATCATATCCACATTAATATTTGTATTTACCCTGTCAATCAATTAATCGTTCACTAAGCTCTCAAACTACCAAAGGAAGGAGCGTGACATACCTATTCTAATTCAAGAACCATCATTTGATGACGAGGTAGTATATATTAATGCACTTGTTGTTCTATATCAGTCACTAGTAACCTGTTCCAAAATTGATCACGCAAGTGGAAACCATTATTAAACTATGGTGTATATATACTTAAGCTTAGTCTGGTTCATGTGTGCCTATTTTTTTTCTGTTTTGTAATGTGTAAATATTCTGTTAATTCTCTATCAGTGGTTTGTTTTCCGTACGAAAAAAGATCCCTTATTGAAACCCGTTTGCTGCACTAGGGTGTAAAAACTTAATTCTAAGTGTGGTTTGTGTGTGCAATTCTATTTTTGTTTTGTAATGTCATAATTATGCATGATTGTAATCTGTATTAGTGTTTCAAATTGTGGTAAATTTGAGTAAGCCAGTATTTCCTGGCAGAGGTAATTGCCTTCCAACCCTTCATTAAATAATAATAAATTCCTTAATTTGATATTAAGACACTTAATATTGTGTTAATTAATCATGGTATCTTCATTTTCTTGTAATTTTTCTATCCCCAAATGGCCGCAATTTGAAAAAGCTTGCCAAAGAATATTGCTAAGCCCAGCTGAACAAACATGATGAACTAAACAAATATTTCGGGGAATCCTAAATAAGTCCCTTCATTTTAGTATTATATGTGAACCAGGGCATTGCATTATAGTTGTAATTGATTATATTGATCACTGCATTTACTTTTTTTATAATTACAGTCAACATACTGTTTCTACTCATTTATTTTAACCTTGTCAACCTAATGCTCTGTCCAGACAAATTTTCTTTGACAGAAAACTATTGTATGCCCATATATAATCATGATGTGCCTATATATGGTCATGATTATGATGTCATCATGACCATATTTAGGCATGTCACATGTTTTTGTCAAATAAAATTTGATAGTCTGGACAGGGCTTAAGTAATATGCATCTGTACTTTTGTTCTGCAATGAAATTGATGTCCTTGCTTGTGCTCTATTCACTACCATGTTCATTGTCTTGTATGTTGATGTCCTCCATTGCTTATTGAATACACAGCCTTTAGTCAATCAATCCATGCTGAAGCAAACTTAATCACTTCATTATTTCTCAATGGTATCGTAAAGCCGCTAGACAGTGATTTGGTTCACTTTTTGGCAATCCTGTCCGGCCAACTGAGTGTTATTTTTTCCTCTCTCTGTTACTTTGTGTTTTCCTCTCTCTGTTACTTTGTGTTTGTCAGTTTAGATGTTCTTTGAACCAAATAAATGAAATGAAAAAAGAAATTAATTAAATATTTACTTATAATACATGGATTGTATGGAATACAGTATGTAGCTAGTAAGGGAGCATCAATTTTTCATTATTTTCAAGAGATTACAACACATACTCTTTCTGTGACATCACCCCTCCCCCCTCCCACCTCTCTCTCCTCCCAAAGAAGCACATAAAAAATTCATTGTGATCATTGTGAGATGATAATTTTCTTCGTTTTCATAATAATAATAATAACAGACAATTTCAAAAGGCTTACAGATTAAAGACAGAGTTTATTTATCAAGTTATTATAGCCTATCCTCATTTTAAACAATATATAACAGATTAGTAACTACTAAATTTTTCAAGCAGAATTCTAACAGAGCTGTTACTACTAGGCTTGGGCAACAAGGAATCAATTGACTAAGTGGATAATTCACTTTCACCTATGTGAGATTCTAAATCCTAGCCTCGCTTAGGATTACTCCCTTAGGGCTGATATATCTGTGCCCTAACTTGGTATACATTTGTTTTTTCCTAACCTGAATCATATCAAATTTACTGCAGAATACATGAATATATTTGTGAATACATTTCTAAAATAAACACTTCTTCTACCAAGAGTCACATGATCAATTCAACCTATTATCCAGTAAGGCAGACACATCAAATGCAACATCACGCATCACTTTCATGCATTATGTCAAAGCCACTTAAGTGTTATTGATAGCAATTTAGCTTACAATTCAACAAGCTGACTTTACAGTGTTGGTGAAAATATAAATCTTAACACTGGAGAGACCTGGGAATCCAGGGGCCTAGATTAATTTCAGATCAAATTTAATTAATAATTGTCAGCATGTTGTGTACACATTTTGTCCTAATTGTCAAAAGTAGAGCATGGAGGTTATATTATTGGTATTAAGTTCTTTCTGACAACGTTCATTGCCATTTTAAGATGCTTACACATTTTGTACTTAACTGTTTCATGTCAGCTGTATTTTTGTATGGTAGTATCCTCTATAGCTCATATATTGTTAATGTGTGATTTATTGCTATTTATACTCTTTCATTGTTAATTTTAATCTTTTTTTTTAACTTCCCTTGCATGTCTACTATTTAACAGGTGCATATATTCCCATATTATTGTTTTTATTATTTATAGTTCATTATGACAGAATTAATATATTTATAGTAGATTTGCTACGGAAGTTTCCTGAATCACTTCAAAAATATTGATTATAAAGTATAATCTACCAAAGTATAATTTACCTATTACTGTTAGCAGAACATTTTCGTACTGGACAGTATAATTTTTGTCTAATAAACTTCTCTTACAATCAATTTCTATCTTATTTCTATTTATAAGAGAGCAATATAAATGCTCAAATATTATTATTATTATCATTTTCTTCAGACTCAAGAGTACGCAGAAAGTATGAACAAGAATGTAATAGCTCCGACCAAAACAAAGGTGAACGACGGAACTCTTTGGACTGATCTGTCATCTGGAACAAAGTCATGGGCTTCAAAGGTAAATAACACTAGTAAAACTTATGGCAGTTTAAAATTAGGGACAGTATAGTCAGTGGGTAGAGTGTTTAATGTTATTTCTGGATCTGGTATACACTTTTGTTTATTATTATAGGTGGCATCATCAACACAGAAAGGTTGGAAAGATTTTTCCAAAATGTTAACAGACAACCCAAGCAGCCATAATGCCCTAGAAAACACCTCACCATCTGATGACCCCTTAATTGATTTTGGGGACTGGGACGACAAAGAGGAGCGAGAGCGTTTAAGGTAAGGAAAGCTTTTTGAAGACTAAACTATGTTTAGCTTTGTATTTAGGTGTGTGTGTTAAAAGAAGAGAAGCTGAAAATGGCAAGCATGTTTACCACATTGTTTTGGTGAGGTGTGTGCACCGATTTTTCAAGCAATAACATGAATGCTCATAATAGTGTATTTTCATTTTCAATAGGCTTCAAATTATTTGTTTATTGATAATGATGATGTGCAAATACTTTTTTAATTTGAATCGTCTTGCATTAGATCACTTGATCCTCATAAAAATGACACCCCTCTCCTGCATAATGAGCCATCCCCATCGAGGCAAAAGAGCGATGAGTGGACGAGCGATGGATGGGGGTGGGGTGAGAACGATGATGAAGCCATTGATGACAACCCATTTAATCAACAAAAAACCAAGTTGGTTAGCGATGGCTGGGACTCTTGGCAGGAAGAGGAAGAAGGCAATCTGTTAATAGACAAAAGGTACAAAATATTTCAAACAACTCAGTTAAAATAATAATAAATTGCCATCATTATCATGTATTATGCTAACAATTTTTCTTTATTAAAATCAGGGGCGGCACCAGGAATCCCCTGACGAGGGGTCCAAGCTCCCCGACAAGGGGTCCACACTCGAACGTTATGACCAAATCATCTTAGTGAGTCCAGGGGCGACTCACAGAAATTTTGGGCACATATACAATATGAATGCGGTAGAAATTAAGGAAATTACATAGATTTTCTTTTGAAAAATAAACTTTTAAGTCGGGAAACATTGATAGAATAGATAATTTGATAGAAAACCATGCAAATTAAGAGTCCCTCTGTCAGGGGTACAAATCCCCTGTCGGAGGTACCAGCCCCCCAGTGCTGCCCCTGTTTAAAATACATGTTAATCTTATCTTTTGCTTAAATCTCTAAATTTTTGTAATCATTTCAGTAAATCAACAAAACACTCAAAGAAAGCAACACTGGAGGACACCTGGGATGATGCAGGTGGCTGGGATGATGCAGCATGGGAAGCAATTGAACAAGAGGTCAAGAAAAAGCCCTTGACCAAATCCAGTAAAAAAGATTGATGATGGCCTCAATCCAGAGGCTATTGACCCTGGATGCTTTCCAACAGCATGCGACATATCTTACTACTATTGAATATAAATATAAATATTTTAGGAACATCAAATACAAAGGGTTTACATTGTATTTTGCACCTTATTTTATCAGGCCTATTGCAACAAAATATCAAAATCTGTTTTATAGTGGCTCTCCTGAAAAGCTGATATCATTGGCCGTGTTTCTGCGGCATTGAATTATCATACAGATATCAGAAGATTAGAACCAATCACCAATGGACAGGTTAGGATAATTACATTTTAATAAGAAAAAGATAATCGCTTTGATAATGATAATATCAGCAGTTTGTGAGAGCTACTTTGAAATTAAATAAGTTTCATAAAGGATTATTTATTGATTTATTTATTCGGATATAGAAAAAATATTTATTGGCAGCAGCAAGGCTGAAATGAGGTCGTGTATGTATAATACAATTTAAATAAACACAATAACCTTGTTCAACAACCTATTAAATTTGATTACTACACATCTGTATTCCAAAATTCTAAAAAATTACATTTTACAGTATTAAAGTGGAGAGAAAAACAGAAATAACCAGTCAATTCACCAAAATAAATTGTCATGAGAATATCAACTTGAATTCTATTTGAGGTTTATTTCACAAATTCCAAGTGAAAGCCAATGGTTTTTATGCAGTTGTACATAGGGAGCGGTTGATGGATTGATTTCACTTTAAACCGCCATTGTGGAATTTGCTTGTTTTTCGAAAACGCACTTTACCTACAGTACGTTTGTCTCTCTCCACCCAGGAGTATAAATTGGTACATGTTAGTATGTTGTAGAATTTAATGTATTGGTCTGTCAGTAGTACGTGGCTAATATACTTTCACTGCAGTGAAGGTTGCCCTTTGTGCTAATTTGCCAATTTATAGATCAAATGACCAGGATTTGAGAGTTTTTTTTTATGTGCTGTATAAGTTCTGAATATTTATTATTAATATGTAAAAATATCATACATTAAAAATTAATTTAAAACTTGGCACAAGCTTGCCTTCAATGATAGCACTATCAAAAAACAAATCCTCACTCCACAAATACACCTAGTTATACTTCTTGGGTTTTATTATTATGATTGTTATATTATTGCTTTTAAAGATTACACAGTCGACATCATTGATTGATTCCTGTTGGTTCATCATACATTTGAGACCTTTGCATTCTACTAATTCACCATGTAAAAACATTTTGATTTATTTTGCAACTTTTCAATATAACAAACACTTGGATCCCATTTTTATTGGGCCTTGACCATCTTCCCAGCTCTCAGTCTCACAAACAGATTCTTTATCTGCTGCCCTCTCTAGTGTGGCAAGCATCTTCAATCCAGTATAGGTAGTTGAACAGGGTTTTATGTGTGTTTGGGTCCACCTCCATGTGACATCTTCCCACAGAAAAGTTCACTTCTGAATTGATGAAAATACACAAAATTTTAATTGACTATATCATTTTTGTAAATGTAATTTTTCCTCGCATTATCAATAAAGAAGTTTTTAAGGCCCTGGAAATTAATTAATTATTTCAATCATAAAAATAATTTCAGTAAAGTATTGTTTGTTATTATTTCTTTTGTTGGTGTTGTTATTATTTCTGTTATTATTGTTCATATATTTTTTAATTATAGAAAGTATTCTTTCTAAAATCAAAATGTATTAGTATTTATTTTAATATTATATTGTGCATGCTATTATAGTGTACTGTAAATGTTGTGCTTCATGGGTAGCAGTGGGCATGCTACTCATGTACATGCCTTTGAATTGTTCAATATCTTCTCCTTAGGTGATTAGGAAGCTTTCAGTTTCCGCGACGACACAACTCTAAAATGGATTCACTCGTGCGTAACCGTGCTATGTTCACTACACAATGTAGATTTGGCCAAATTTTGAACTAGAATCCACACGAAGAGAATCAAAAACTCCCTATTAATAACTGCTTTTTAAACCCACCTCGTATCCCTAACTTCCTGAAAATATATACGTTTAAATTGTTGGAAGGATACTTCCAGCTATTCTATAAGTGAGGGTATCAAACACTCGAATAATTCTTAAATATACTATCTTGGTGTTAAGCACATAAGCTAAAAAACATTTTTAAATGAATTAAATATTTTTAATTCATTGTTTTATTTGAAAATTGAGAATACTTTCCTCGCCAAATAATAGATGCATGATACTTTCCTGTATTCCTTATATTATAAACTGTCAAATTCTCTAGTCATCATTCTAGGGAATTCCATAGCATGTACCTATTAATAATTATTATTATTAATAGGTCCATGTCATAGTAAGTAAACATCTGTAAATTAGTTTTAAAAAAATGAATTGTTTAAGGTTCTATTACTGACAATATATCTTTAATATACATTGAATGGATGTTTAGTGCAATGGGATGGAATGTTTTATAAAAGAAAGCATAGCCACATTAAATGGAACATTCTATTTTTCAGCGTATGAAAATATTCTATCCCATTGAATAAAATGAGAAATATTTGTTTTATACACCTCCTGTATAAAGATCATCTGCAATAGCCGGGTTAAAACATCAAAGCAAACATGGTGTGGCCGCAAATTATGTCTACATTTAGGCATGTCAATGACTAAAAATAAATTGTATGACAAAATTACACAAAAAATATTCAAAAAATGTCTTCATCTGTGCAATGTACGCTTCTTTTATTGAATAAAACCATTAATCCCATGTGACCTGTAATCATCCAATCACATGGCAAGAATCTACGTAGGTGTTGTACAGTATATTATTAACAAATAACTGCTTATAACTTACAGTAGGATAAATCATTTATGTAAAAATACATACACAGGTGGGTATTCTATGTTTACCACTGTGTTCAGTAAATGTTTATGTAATTTATTAATTAGGTGAATATTATTATAAGTTGTGAATAATAAATAAATTATGAACATAGAAAGCCATTGAAGGTCAGTCCTAGTTCATGTTCTCCCATCTAATTAATCTTTCTGTCAGTAGGTAATAAATTTTATGTACTGTACAAACATTATGGTTTTGTATTTAATCAGGATTGGGCGAGTGTGAATGCTATCAGTACAGTATTGAAGAAACCATGTAGTGCTGCCAATCAAGAGTCCTGCATCCAGTGATGGTATCAGGATTTGCCCAACCGGGGGTCTGATGTTCTCGACGAAAAAAAAGTGGGTGTGGTTGGGCGTCGCTCAAAATCTCTCAAAAGTGTTCCAGAGGCGAAGCCCCTGAAAAACATGACAATTTAGGAGTTTCAAAGGCTTATTTAACCGATTTGAATCTACTAATAGGTATAAAATGCCAATATATTTTTTTTCTTCCCGACGAATTGTGGTTTTTCTCCCCGACGGGCCCCGGCACCCTTGCTGGCGCCACCCTTGCATGCATCACTACATATTGTCTGTGTCATTGAGCAAGACACATTTGCCTATCTTCACTCAAGAATATAAATGAGAAAGGTGGTGGTAGTGCTGAATTATGTGCATAACTAAATAACAAGGGAAGGAAGTTGCACATTCTGAATGAATAATTCTGTATCCAATAATCACAAAAGTCTCCAGTTGAAGCAGTTGAGCCAAGTGCGCGTTTTTTATTTCATTTTTTGTAGATTGTGATTTTTAATACAGGACCGCATATTTTCAGTAGAAATTGTGTTCTTTCACATACATTGCATTGTTCACATGCAGTTCACATGTTTATTACCTTTCTGAAATAGCCTTAAGCCTGTGTGTACATCTCAGCATTTTCATTAGAGTTCAAAACTCTTCTGTCTCCCCTACCCCCACCAAAAACATTCACAGTTGACCCCTCCTCTAGCATGTGTTGTAAAATGAAAAAATGGATAATCCCTATAGGAAATGATCTACACACTATTTAATATTCTTTGGTTGTCATTTTTATTTGGAACCAGAGATTACAAGTATTGAACAACTAGTGTTTTAAAAAATATATCAGAAAAAAAAAATAATTACAGATTATGTAATATAGGAATTATATTATTGATAATATTATTATTTAGTTCATTTAAAGCTAAACTACAGCTTGTTTCTTTTTAGCATATAAAATAATTAAAATGGTAAACTACATTTACAACTCAAGCTTATCTCTCAGATCCAACACACTTAATGGTAAAAAACTACATACAATATCAACATATTTTCTTCAGATTGCTTATACATAAAATAAAAGTATTTTTCTATATACTTCTTTTATCCCCCAACCCCAATTCTATCCCAAAATTATTTTCTTAGCTACCAAACATATAACTGGTTTTATGATAATGCTTTTGGAATATAAACATTTATGCAAAATACACAATTTTTTTAACACTACAGTATAATAAAATATTAACATTAAAAAGGTTTTGAGTGCTTTCCCGATACATTATTGACACAATTTTCCAAAAATGTCCCAAATGGAATGCATAATATATAGTTATAAATAAAGTAGAAGATTTGATTGTTCTGGACTAGCAACAAAGGATATAATTCAGTTAATAAGAATGTGCTGAATTTGGATTTTTCTGATATTTCTTCAGGCTCAGAAGGAATACACAAATAACTGCACTGCACTAAAGGGAAAGAAAGTACAATTGAGCCCTGTCCAGAATATCAAACTTTATCTCACAAAAACATGTGACATGGCTAAATATGGTCATGATGACATCACATCATGACCATATATATAGCCACATCATGAATGTATAATGGCAGTTTTTTTTTTCAAAGTAAATTTGATAATCTAGACAGAGAATTATAGGGCCTCGGCATCCCTTAATTATTGCCACAAACAATGCAACACTACATCATTATTTTTCAGGCAGGGATTTCTAAGTAGTTGATAAATTCCATACAAGAGTTACAAAGTTTGACATCTAAACATACAGAGAGAAAAAAAACAAAAAAAACAGGACATTATACACCTGTCATCAAGTATAATTTGATCTTTACATATATAGATTAGAATATCTGATTATATTAACAAGTTGTGAGGTCTCGCCACGAAATGAGACGCATCGTTGGTGAGATCATATTGAGATAATCACCAAAACAGGTCAAAGTCAAACCTTTTATGTTTTTGCATAATTTGATACTTATATTTTATGATAATCATTTTGAGTTGATATTCTTCCAGTACTATAACTTGTATTTATTCTTAAAAAGCTATTCAAAGACCAATTTAAGTTATGTAATGTGATCTATTCAAATATGCTATATAAATTCTTTTGAATTTGCCATGTGAATCATTTTGAGGTACCGGTAAGACATATTTTATCAATTTCCATAGAATACGATTAGGACAGAATCCTAGTAGGTTGCTACAGTACAAGTAAATTTTATCATTTTCCATAGAAAATGATTAGGACGCAATTTTAGTAGGTGACTACAGTACAAGTAAATTTTAAAATATAAGATTGACATTATTTATAGGTGTTAAAACATTCACTATCATGTGTAAGGAAGAAATTAAATGATAGGTTGAAAATGAGGCAGAAGCTACAAGACTATAGTATATGGTAGTAAGTTAAGTCTTCCTATTTTAGGTTAAAAATGTCATCCTGTCAACCGCGAGATTAGTTATCATGATATTATCATGAAGCGTTCTCACAGTGGAATATCTCGCACAATTTAAACATCAGGAATGGAGTGATCCATCGACTTCTTGACAAGACTGCTTGACATGCTATTAAAATAAAAAAAGGAAATAAATCATCGGATTTTAAATAATGTTTCAAAATGCAGGTGTCTCTTTAGTGCAGTTTATAACATTAGTAGAATACATAGGCCACATCAAATATCTTGTAACTACAGATAGTGCATGTTTTCATTTTGGCATGTGATTTTTGTAACATGCAGATCACTCCAAAAACCATTTATCATGGATTTACTTATTTTGTAGAGAGTGAATAACATATATACAATGCACTAAACAAAATTCATGATTTATTTATGGACTTAATTCTTATGTTGTTTAAAAGTTTAAAAAAAGTTGGTATAATATAGCGCATCATGACAAGGCCTCTATACAATTTACACTATAACCCCATTCAGTGGATCAAACACCAATGGAACACAAACTCAAGTTTCTGGGAAGAATTCCTTAATGTTGCAGCTTGTAATTGGGGTGGGTTAGAATCTACCAGGTACCCACTTAGACTTCTGGGTGAAGGGAGACAAACATAAGTAACATGCAGAGAAATGGGTTTGAATTTAATTTTCAAACTGATAAAAATAGAGTTCTATTTACCTCTTCATCATGTGATCGAACACAAAGTTTGGCATGATGGTGATAGTGACGGTTTTGGGAGAAGCATGCAAAATTTCCGATATTTCCTTATCCTACAATGACAGAAGTAAAAATGATTGATTAATGAAACAAAGTGGAAAATATTAAAACAACATTAAAACTTCTGCTCAATACTGGTGCTTCCTTTTCACTTTCCATCCCCCATCCTGAACAGAAAATTATCCTACCTTCACTATTTGTAAGATAATCAATATCCACCCAGAATCCACAATGCACCCATAATGCACCATAACCAAAAATGACAGGATTATACTTGGAGAAATTATTTGTTTTGAAATATATTCACACAAACCACAAACCATAGCTTGGATTGATGTATACTTGTTTTATCAATGTTTATACTTGTCTTATCAAAGTAAAATCAAAGTCACTTTAAATAATTCAACCACAATTCATTAGTTCTCTCTGGACTTACCTTAAGTCCAATGACATTCTGGCCGTTGACCTCAAGCAGAGCATGGTCGATCAACAGACCGTTCCTAGCTGCTGATGTATCCTTTGCAATGGCAGTGATCTTCCCATTCTTGAATACAAAGCCAACATAACCAGCGCTGTCTTTCTGCAGAGTAATGGTCCGTTCAAATGGTCTGAAATAAAACAAAAAAATTTAAGACACCCTTTGCAGCAAACAATGAGATCACTGTCACTGTACACAACAGCAGAGAAGGCCAGAACAATAAATAGCAGGATCTGAGGATTATTTGGATAAGTGATGTAGAATACTAATTATGTAATTTACTAACAAAAGCTACAGGTACGTCACATACAAAGTAAAAACATGTCACAACAAAGGACTAGAGTACCAGCATGTTTAAGTACTAGAATAGAGATTCCCATATAAATGATATCATTTGCATTGGATTTCTATTTCCTATAATTTTGTATAGTAATTATTAGACAGTAATGTGTCAATAGGGACTACAGGGGGTCCGACAAGTCCAACAGAGAGTCTGAACCAAGGGCGGACTAGTGCCTCAGTCGGTGTTCCGCAATAAAATCCCTGGTAGGGCTCGTGGGAAGAGTTGTTATGCCTTTGCATGGCCCAAAAATTGTGCTTCTAAACCACAATATTACTATATTAGCAATGAAAATGTTATTTGAATAGGCAAATTAATATTTTTGGTTTGAACACATTAGAGTTAGCCGCCATCAACAACCAGCAGGTGGTATTGTATCACCAATTAATCACAGAGAGCGCAAATGAATTTTTGTACGGCTGTCAAATTGGTGCTAATTATATTAAAATTTGAAAAATGAGTTACCGATCCCTAACAGCAAAGGTGATTCGCTTAGCATCGGCCTTCTTTAGAACATCCATCGTCTTGTCCCTACTCCAGCCTGCGACATTTGTACCGTTGATCTGTAGAATTTGGTCACCAAACCTCAAGCCACCCATAGCAGCAGGTGAACCTGATAGCACAAATGCTACAAAGATTCCCTAAAAAAAAGAGCATTTTGGAAAATGTAAAAACATGGAGCAATGCCATCAAATTCAAATTATTTTGGAAGCTTAAACTTTTCATGCAATTTCTTAATTTAGAATTCTAGTTATCTAACCCGCATGCCAGGAATCTGAGTTTAATTGAGGCTTTTCAATTACCAGTCCACAATAAATGCAGACCACAAAGGATGTGCAAATTGCCAGAAAAGGGCATAATGATTTCATATCATTCCCATATATGGGTATGATGATGCCATAATACATCCACATATTACAGGCATTTGTCACATAAAACTTGATAGTGTATTGTCCTACTGCAACATACCTTGCTAACTGCTTGTACTCTCATTCCAATCTTTCCTTTAGAATCCTTACAGACAACAATTTCTCGGATGCCTTGTTTAACTTCTGCTCTTGCTAGGCCTAGATTAGTCTGACCAGTCACTGGAGCAACCATGGTTCCAGCACTGGAAGGCACAGCAACAGTCTATAATTTTAATTAATACATTTTTAGGAACAAGAATATGATTTAATTATAATCTGAATTAATATCTTTTTAGACCATAATCCAATCGATTGGTAGATATAATACTTGTAATGAAAGTTAGATGGATAAAACAAACATGAGAAAAGAGCTGTAGGTTCTAGAAAATGTCCTATTGTAAGAGTTGTACATGTGGAATATTTAGCAACAATATTTATTACAAAGTTGACAAAAAAGACAAACATGACAAAAATGACAAATCATCATAAAGGAAGATAAAGAAAAAAGGAAGTAGGGAAGGATACTGGTGCTAGAGATAATGTTAGAGATAAGAGAATGATGAAGGTATCAATATACCCCACAAAAAAAAAACAGATACAACTGACCTGTGGAGATTGTGCTAGCACAGGCATATTGGCAGCAATACTTTCTGGGGTTAAGCACAATCCCATGTACTCATCAAGGGATGGGTACAGTCCAACACTGCCCTCGGATGATGGAACATGGCTGCTGTTGGGTGGCTGGAAACCTGCAGTAACAGTGTTTGCCACATGTTGTCGATAGTCCACCTGAGCCTGTAAAATTATGTAAACAATGAGAACTGTTACTGCATGCTGTGAATAATTAATTTTTTCAGTGTGTGGCAATTTTATTGGTCATTGAGCCTCATGTGACTGACAAGACATGCCCATAGATGGTAAAACAACATCATGCCCATATACAGTATAAACAATAAAATATTTGTCACAAAAAAAGTGACAGTATGGACAGCTAGCACTCTATATATTAAAAGAGATTCGTTACAAAACATTCGGGTTTTAAATGATCAGCTTATTCACATAGATCATACCCATTCTATTGAGAAAAAAGAAAACAATAAACATTTATAGATTGAAAATACAGACCTGAGCCATCTGGTCGACTTTCATATCTTCAAGTGATGGATACAGAGACATCTTGGTAGTTTTCGTGGAGTTTTTTTTTTTTAACTAAAGAAAAATTACAATATGAATTAAATATACAGCTTTATTTTTTTAAAGCAATCAGTTTGCTTAACTCAATCAATTTAACATTGATGATACTATATTTGTAGGTACTACGGTATATATAAAATTTAAACTGCTCTGATTTTAGATTAGACAAATTGCAAATACAATAGAATGTTTCATAAGCTCTGTAGGCTCAACTTTGTAGAAGCTACTGCAGTGTTCATGAAGGTCCTTGAAAATTATGGGTGTTATTTCTCCCACCTTAGAACTTTGTTAATCTTTACGTTAACTGGGATCTACTGTAGGCCTAGTAAAAATACAGCAGTCTGATTTCAGAATGCCAGTCAATTCGAGCGAATGCCAGTCAATTCGAGCGAATGCCAGTAAATTCGAGCAAATGCCAGTTCGAGTGGATGTCATTTCGAGTGGATGCCAGTTCGAGTGGATGCATTTAGTGCAAACTAGTCGCCCTATTCTTGTATTTGTTCGTTTTAAATGAAAAAAAAGCTCTGTGCACTAAAATTCTGAAATGTTTTTGGTACTTTTTGATAATTATTCCATGTTTGAATCCGACTACCAGATGGCCGCTAGCAAGCACTTATATTTTAAGACTATAGAATTTTGCATGTTTCAGGTGAATTCACGGTTTTTGTCTCTAGTTGGGGTTTTGTATTTAAAAAAGCACATTATACTTGTAATTGAATTATATGGTGTTTAATTGTATCTGTAGATTTATGATTTAGGCCTATATTTGTAAATGGGAGCTGTAATTGTTATTCACCATAGAAATTTAAATTATTTTTACGTATCTAGGTGCACAAATCATTGGTGTAGTAGTGTGACAGAGGGGCGGATCTAGTAGGGGGAACGGGGAGGCATGTGCTCCCTCCCCCTCCCCCTGTTTTGCCACTAAATTTTTTAAATGTCAATACGTATTAATGTTATGTGCTACTCACTTATCTATTCTGAAACTGTTGAGCACTAACCCTGCCGTTTGAAAAATTCTGGATTTGCCGGCCCCTGTGGCAATTAGACTATCAACAGCACAATAACAAACATCATACCAATTTTCTCCACTATCTACCCACCATTCGTCTATATTTCAAAACCCACTTTTTTTAAACTTAGCAACGTGTGGAAAGAATAACAATGAATAAACACTATTTTTATGAACGTAGGCCCTAGGTATGTTTAATTGTAAATTATTAACCTTAAAAATCAATTACGACTTTTTCTATACATTTTCTGTACATAAATCGCACAGGCTGAAGTGGATCGGCTCAAATAAATTCCGCTCGACCCGGGGCAAAATCGACCCAGGCCGAATCGACTCAGGGCCGAAATGACTCTACACCCTTTTGGATACACCATGGATAAGAAGGCCACATAAAATTGCTCACTGGACTGCTCAAAATCTTCTAGAATGTCCATCACTGAATTAGGGAAACCTGGTTGAAGTACTGTACCAAACTAATAATTTACTTTTGACATGAATTTAAAAAAAAAACCTATAATCTTGATAATAATATTTATAACTTTCTTTGATGGGTGTACAATGCATCAGCCTATATACCCTGACTAATATTAAAGAGAAGGCTTATAAGTATCAAAGCAGAAGTGGAAGTAAGCTGGCCTGCCTAGCCTACTACTACTAGGACTAGCTTAGGCCCCTCATATACTCATTCATAGTAGATCCCCTCCCATCCTAGCTTGCCTAGGCCTAGGTGGCCTTGTCCTAGCTAGGCCAGTACTGAGCTAGCCTAAAGTATTAGCGATCACCTAGGCCTAGGCATAGCCCTAGCCTATCCTAGCCTAGATTCCAATCCGAGAAATGAAAACAATTCTATTTTGTATTTCACAATGTAGGCTAACACTTCAGATTTAGATAGGAATCTAGGCCTAGGCTTAGATATTATTTTAACTAAACATATGCTTAAAGTAACAAAATACTTACTATTTTAGAAAATGTTGCCTTAATGTTGCTACAGCAATCACACTTCTTGTACAATATCGATCAACTGAATTTGACTCATCATTAATACAGAACAAAGTATAAAGTGTATACGATTTACGTCATGATTCTCACGTGAATATAATGATGTAATGCCTATATATAGAGGGACGGACAAGTTGACGCTTTGTAGAGGGGGTGAATCAAGGTGGATTTTAAAAATTATTAGATTCGTAAAATAATTCTTCTGACACACACTGAAATCACACTCCAAAGTCTAGAGAACGCACAGCATCACCCGAGGACAAGCCCATAGGCCTACACCATGATGCTTAGAGAAGTATGGTCCTAGACGTAACAATCGTCGTGACAACTTGAGGGATAAATTTTATAATTTCTTACAAGAAACACGGTGGGCCTATTCACGGAGAGTCCTTGCATAAGTGAGTAATTCCATAAAGAGACAAAAATGAAAATATACAGGACTCCAAGCTCCAAATTTTTAATTGAGAATTTCATTGTATTGTTTGGGAACAGGTCAAAACGGCAAAAAAAAAAAAAAAAAAAAAAAAAAAAAAACGGCACTGTAAGTCAAAACGGCAATGGCAAACGGCAAAAAACAAAAACGGCAACACTTTTAGACCAGAACAGAATGGGACTAAAACAGCAATAAGTCAAAACGGCAAGACCAAAACGGCAAGTCAAAACCCTCAATAAACCAATTGACCATAAACAGTAGGCAACACAGTTAATAATTGAATTACCGAATCAACAATAGTTGCTCAAACGCCTTTTTAAAATTAAAGTTATTGAATGTTATGGGTAACGTTCCATGAGCGTTGCCCAAACCCCCCCCCCCCCTCTTTGATTTCGCACCTTATTCATGAACTTTAAGCTGTTAACTCGTATTTACCTCGGTTTGATGGTTTTATTTTAACTGCTGTTACTAATATAACAAAAAGGTACAACAAATAAAATTAACAGACCATTCTGATTCAATATTTATTTTGGTATATCATCAGTTCAGTTTATTTCTAATCATCAAAACATTGTACAAAACAGAAAAAATTCGCAGGACAAAAAAAATGTTACAATAAAAGATAATGCAAGGATGGTCTATGAAAGTTTTCTTTAAGAAGTAAAAGTTAATTCCAATATGGTACATAAAACCAATTATAAACATGAAAGTGTACAATGATTAATTATAATAATAATAATAATAATAATAATAATATAATAATAATAATAATAATAATAATAATATTATTATTATTGTTATTAATAATAATAATAATAATAGTATAACCTACAAATTCAATAATAAAATGATTGGGGAAATCACAATATAAAAGCAGTAAACATTTAAATAATTAAAACTTTAAAATACAGACAAAAAGAGGCTAAACAATTTATGTCATACAAGTAGAAAAGCGCGAAAGAAAAAAAAAACATTTTAAAGAATAACAACATTAATAATAATGAAAATAATAATAATAATAATAATAATAATAATAATAATAATAATAATAATAATAATAATAATAACAAAAACAACAACAACAATACATCATACAAATTCAATAGTAAGATTTGGGGAACACAATATAATACATACTGTACAATACCGTATAAAACCAGTGAACATTTAAATAATTAAAACCTTAAAATACAGATAATATGAGGCTAAACAATTTGTGTCATGAAAGTAAAAAGCGGGGAAAATAATAATAATAAATAACACTTTAAAAGAAGGAAATAATTCGTCATGGATGTGTAAAAAAAAAAACAAAAAAAACAAAAAAACGATTCAGAAAATTATAAACTGCATGCTGCCCGCGCCCGGTGGCGGCGCTTCAGTCTTGGCATTGATTTTTGCTCCTTTGCCGTTTTGGTCTATGCCTA